ACATTACCATCACCCCCCACACCATCACCTTATGTAATATGTATGATACTGCATTCTGTATACCCTGCGCATGTTAATCTTCGCTTGAGTTACGAAATGTATTTGATCTATGCATGTTATACCTGTCAACATAAATAAATAAAAAAATTTTTAAAAAGAACATAAGAAAAGCACAAAATAAACAGTAAAATATGAGTAGTAGGGATCAGATATTATAAAAATGACTAAATGACAATAAATGTAAGCAATCACATCTGTATAGTTGAAAACACCTTTGCAAGTGTCCATTATAGTACTTTGTGATGATTTAACAGTGTAAAAAAATGAAATTCATATTTCATTTACACATTTTAAAACTTTATAAATATTAAAGAGATGGCAATATTGGTAATAAATTACATTATACAAAATCCACATACTGCCCTGTTGATTGCTTAATATTAATATTTAAGGGATATATAGTATAGAATAAATATTATAAAATAAATATTATAAAAAATTACATAATTTAATATCATCATTAACCCCATGTAGTTGCATAGTATTATGGTTAAAAATCCATTGCATCTCTGTTTGTCCAATATGTTTAATCAGATCTCCCCCTCTCCAGTTCATGGTTATCCTTTGAATTCCCAGAAATTACATATGGCAGGGATCACTATTATGCTTGTTTTTAAAATGTGAAGAGACGCTATGCTTTTCGAACCCTTTCTAATGTTCCTCACATGTTCCTGGATTCTAGTGTTCAGTGCCCTAATGGTCATACCTACATTTACCAACCCACAAGGGCAGGTGATCACTCTAGTAGAATGGCATTTAATGGTTTGTTTGATTTTAAAGAACTTTCTACTGTCATGTGGGTTACTAAACTCCTTTATTAATCTTTATTTTATTTGCTGAGTTTTTACATGCCCCACGTATACCACAACCATAGAATATGCTGGATTCATTAAAATGATTTGTTAATCTCTTTGATGGTATACGATCATGCACTAGGTTACTTTGTAGATTTTGTATGCCCCTATATGTTATGGTTGGTTTTTCCAGAAGTAAAGTATTGAAGACTGTATCATTTCTCAGAATGGACCAGTATTTTTTAATACTTCTCTTTAAATTACCACTATTACAATTGAAATCACAAATAAAATTTAGATGTTTAGATGTCTCAAAAGCTTTGTGTTTTCCTCCTTCATGACTGTAGTAGAAATATCATCCTAGAAGAATGAAACAGTCAAGGGCGTTCAGCACTGTCTTCTTGGATGAGTAGAAATTCTCATATTATGTTACTACCTTCTTGATCTCCTTGCTTGTTTAAGTAGATCACCTGTGTCCATTGGCATATACATAGGGTGTGCCAGGTGTGCACAGGTCTACCTTAATGCATTTGTAGCAGAGGGGATGCATTCCAATTCCATGGGCTGGTAGGGAGATCAAACTAAATTTCTGACCCTCATTGCTCCACTCATTGCCATTATGGAACACTTTAGTGTTCCTATGCCCTTCTCCCACCACCAGCAAATAAAAAGTTAAAAAATATCAAACGTCAAGGAGGAGGATTCAATGAGTTTCTGTTTCACCCTTAACCACAAAGTTTCAAAGAACATTCTCGTCTAGTCCATCAGGCTCACCAAAATATCTGCATTTTGAAATAAAGTTCTAGGACACGAAGACTTAGTCTGCCATCATTCATGTTTTCCATAAGGAATCTAAAGTTGATTTTACTGGGCTTATTGAAGCAGATAAATCAGACTATCACCTTATGTAGTTTACTGAAAAAAAGAATTCTAACTGCCTGAATGTACAAGAGGCTTGGAAGAATGTTCAATTTAATAATAGTGATGTGACCACATCAAGAGAACAGGTTTCTCGTCTAGTTTCTATTGTCAGATTTTAAGGCTGTTAACAAGGTTTGGACGTTACTGCTGAAAAGCATATTGCCTTTTGATAGATACTGTGGATATGAGTGGATGATCAGTGGAAGGGAAATGTTTGCTGCAGGAAGAGGGAAGTGGTCTGCGTGACAGTTTCAAAATATGTTATTTAGAAAACTTGTTTTTAAAAGTGGAACGTGACCCATAAATCTCAAATTCTCGGGCAATGGCTTTTAATAGAGTCCAACACAAGGAAACTCAAATTGTCTGCAATAGCTTCCAAGTGGTCAACCCAGAAATCTCCACATTTCTGAAGACAGGCATGGTTCAAGGACTAGGCCAAACAGGAGGAGGAGAATATACCATATCATAAATTTCATCATAAATAGAGTTGTTCTATTTTTTCACTGGAACATCTCAAAGCACAGGCCTATCATTCTATAAAGCACCATATAAAAGCATTGCTAATGGATTTAATAACATCACCCTGAATTGCAGATGGGATATATTACTTCCTACAACAGCATCATCCTAGTTTTTATTCAGTTTGCATTTGTTTATACCTTCTGCTAATGCTTTGATATATTAAAGGAACTCCAATAAAAATAAAATATATAATTTACTGCTTTCATTCACTC